TTAATATTTCCTAGGTTTCTCTTGTAATTGAGTCCCTGCGGCTCAATGGGATTAACCTGTATAAATAAAACAACAAAGTCCATGCTCAATAATCCAGGTATAAAATCCAACATTTTTCAGTCAGGTCATCTGGACAGTTTCTTTTTTTTGTGCTGAAACGTTTCGCCTTCGATCCGGAAGGCTTCATCAGTCAAGGAAACACACAACAAAACTGATTCTTCCTCCAACAGCTTACTCAAAAATGGAGCAAACCAGTTCTGCTTGTGATGAGATGGTCTCTTTGGTACGCCACTCCTCCATTGCCGGCACTTTTCCTTGTTGACAGTCTTGTCAAATTGATTGAAAACAACAAAGTCCATGCTCAATAATGTATAAATAAAGGTTGAATGAATGTAACCTTACAGTAGTTTTCTACACTTCCTGCTTTCACTTTTTAGGTAAACAGCTACTGCAAGTGACCCCTGATAAACATGATCTGAGACTTTAAGTTAAAAAAAACACATTATCATTGACTATCACAGCATTAGACTCTTAGCTTAATGTTGATTAAATTTTGGCTCAATGTTGCTCCCACTGCGTTGGTAAAATAATTTCAGTCTATCCTAATGGAATTTACAGCTGAGTCAAATCATTTAGAGATGGAAAAATAAATGAAACTGCAAATGCCCGCAGAGAAATGTCACAATCAATATTTGTGCGACTGAGAAACAGCTGCACCACACACCTCTTGAACTCTGCTGGAAAACCAGCTAGTATCATGTGTTTTCATGGCTAGATGCACTAGAAAGGGAGCTGATGTATAATAGTGTTGTCAGAGCTTTCTTGTTGATGTTTAGTGGGATGAATAGAAGTTCATTAGTTGCATAATAAATTTACAAGATTTCACTGTGGATCAGGAGTCCAATGAGAACAATTATGCTCTAACTTATGAAAAAAATCGGATTTATATTTTCATTAAAAATACTAAATGTTTAGCTATCAAATTTGTATATTCTGAAGGTTTTTTTTGTATTTTTTTTTTTCTTTATTGGTGAAGCTCACATTTCTTGTACCTTAGTGTACAGGCTACATAATGGATTTTTAAAACTTTTGTTCTTTTTTGTTTCAGAGTACATGACTCTTTTCTCTCAAATGTTTACCTTCCTGTACTAAACAACCATCTAAGTGAGATTGGCTTCATCCCAGATATAAATTACAGAGGATGAAAAGCTCCTGACTGGCTGGTGTTGACAACATTTTCATTTTCATTTCAAGTAATGTGAACAGAAAAAGCACACTTTTTTTTATTTTTATTTTCTTGCTCCTTGCTGAGGGCAAAATAAATGACAATCTGTATATGACTGTATATGTATTTTCATTGTCAATTACACTTTTTTTTGTTTTGTTTCACAAACACCTTGTTCCAGAACTTGTGGTCACAGACAAGCTCTCACCATGGTCACAGGGATAATCGTTTATAAAGCAGCTGATGACTGCTAGGGAAAATGGAAAGCTTCCATAATGACTTTTAGGATATTTGGTACTGATAAAATGATCTACCATAGCCAAGATGAGTGAGAATTTGTACAAAAAAAGACCATAATAAGAGAAGAAAGCAGATTTGTCTTCAGGTAGTGGTGGATGATGTAGCTGGGCAGCATTATACAATATGTATTTGGCTGGTGGCTTTATCTTGTTACAAGTGTGAATTGCACTTGGGATTAGTTTTATAGGTAGGTTTTTTTGAACAGATGTTAAGCTATTGAAATGGAGTGATGTAAAGTGTGAACATTTGGTAATAGGAGGTGACAAGTATGTTGAGGTTTGTGAATAAAGTCGAGAGTAGTGTTGGTAACTCAAAGTAATCCAACACGTTTCCGCTGCGCCACTCTGCTATTCACCCAAGATGGGACTTGAGCCCACAATCCCTGGCTTAAGAGGCCAGTGCCTTATCCATTAGGCGACTGGGGCCACATGTGTCTGTGGGACTGACTGACTGAGCCACGTTTAAAGGCACAGCAATGCTTGTGTTCTTTGCTTTTAGTTTGTCTATGCAGATCGAGCAGCATCACCAGTCTACATTGGCCACGTGGAACACACAACACCAAACCCTTATGAGGG